GGTCCGCAACTGCTTCGTGTTCTTATCTTTAAAATACCCACTTGTGTTTTATTATTGGCTTAAGAAATACAAATAAGAAACTAGAGGCAGCCAGAGGGGGGCTTGTGTGTACTGTGTGAATGTAAATGAGAGTGGCATGAGGAGAGGGAAAGAAGGCACTGCTTGTAGAAGAGCCAGAAGCAGGATTAGCAACCAGGGCTGGAGCCTTAAATCTTTCATTTGGAGCCAAAGGGGTTTAGTTGTCGTCATCTGAATTAAAATATCCTCTTTGCTCCTGTCCCATATTCCAGATGGGGTGCCCTTAGGAAACAGGGTCTTTTTAAGACACACACTAAAGCATATGTAAACGCTCATTTGCAAAGTTGTAAGAATGTTTTGGGTTTTGTTTTGTTTTTAAATTTTGTAGGCTTGGGCCCTGAATCTATTTTGTATTTAGCAGGGCCCTTGGGAACAGTCAGGGAATTCTGGGGAAAAAATAGCTGAGTGCACTATTTTTTTTCTTCGTGTGGTAATGGGAGACAAGCATTCAGTGTGGGTGGGAGCAAGTCTGCATGACAGCCTTTTCCAGCCTGGAGCCCTTTGGACTACAAGCCCCACTGTCCTCAGTCAACATGAGCTGTGCTGGCTGGGGAGAATAGGTGATATAGTCTGACACACCTGGACAGCACCAATTTGGGGAAGACTGGCCTAGAACCTGGAGAGTCCCTTCCACTCTGTGAGTGACAGAAAAGGGAAAGCTTTTCTGAGTACCAAATTCTCTCTCTCTCTTGTTTATATGAAAAGAGAAGCTGTTGTTGGAATTCTCTCTTTTGACTCAGCTCAGGCAGTCGGAGCAGCTTTCCTTGGGGGATAAAAAAATCTCTGGGACATGCTTCTTAATAAGCATTGTCTCAATATTATAAGCTGCCTTGGGAGCCATTTGTGATAGAAAGACAGGATACAAGTCAGATAGATAAATACAACGGTGCTTCAAAGTCACTGTGGTGCAATGACTGAAGATGAAGACTTTGGAGAACCAGGTTGCTCTGATGGTTGCCTGGATGTGTGTGTTTTTTTGCTCCCTCTCAGACTGGTCTACCTCACATGGTTGGTGAAAAGAAGAAATGAGATAGGGAAAGTAGTGTACACTGCTCAGAGCTTCTTGGAGGAAAGACATAATTAGAACTATAACAGATAAATATAGGTAAGAAGAGTTTTTTTTTTTCAGATTCTGGGCTTGGCAAACCCTGACTGTGGGATGTTGCTAGGGGAGGGTTTCCTGGGTTTGGAAATGAGACACAAAACCAGGAAGCTCATGAACTGGGAGTGATCGGACCTCCTCCCCAGGGTGCTCGTGAAAGAGAGAGCTCTTTCTGAGCTCCTTCGAGAGACAGCAGAATATGAATGCGGTGGGCAGAAACAGAGTTACAACACTGCCGATGGGACTTGCTTCACAGGTTTCAGTGAAGATGCAACTAACGTACAGATGTGTTGTAACTTTTCCGCAGCAGGGACGGAGCCCAGGCAGAGGGAAAGCAATATTCAGGGACAGCTTTCTATACTCTGAAACTGCTGCAGAGCAGGGAAAATCCAGCCTCTCCCATTATCATTCTGTCATGGCCACAGAAAGTGTAACTTGCAGACCTCCCCCTTTTGGGCAATTATTAATAGTGTGAGGACCTCGATTTTTGCTAAGGTTCCAATGGTTTTAATCATGTAATAGCTGCAATGAACCCTATTTTCTTGGCATGGTAGTATACATAGATAGGCTGGTCCTGTTGCATTTGTTTCCTCTACCTTCTCTCTGTGTTACAGGAACGTTTTATTTATCCTTTAAAAAAAAAACTTGCTGGTTTAGATTAGAGATGGGTAGAAGGTATATGTTTAGGTATTTTGCATTACAACTCCCAAAATCCCTACAGGCATGGCCAGTGGTCTGGACTACTGGGAGCTGAAGTCCAAAAATTTGGCAATTCCTTCCCATGCACCTGCTTTCGACTGCAATTTTCTAAGGATCAGGGACCTAAATGGTTGAAGGAACACAGTAAGAGAAAAGGTTACATATTTTACTTTTCAAGCTGCTTTTAAAAAATCGATGTTACTATGCCTGTATGTCTTTCTAGCTCGTTGCTCCCCACTGTTGTATATCTTAAAAGTAAATAAGATTGCTTACTTGAGCTTACTTGATCACTCAAACAATTGAGTATCTGACATCGTGGAAGTGGCAGTGAACTTGGAGGTGGCCATCTGAGTAAGATTGAAAAAACAGGAGCCATTTTCGAAATAGGGCACCTTCTCCAGTGTGGATATGGGGCAACACCCATTGCTGGGGTTACTATACAAGGGGCAGTTGGCACCTCTTTAGGATGGCTGTGAAGAATCAGGTGTCTTGGGGAAGATAATTCTGAATACGTACAAAAGGCACAGCTGAGTACTGAATCAGGAGGCTGAAACAGGCAGCTCTGGTTGGCGAAGTAAACAATATTTCTTTTCTTTAATTATTTTCAGGAGAGGAATTTTTAATATTAGAAGGAATTCCTAATTACGTCTTTACTGCAAAGCCTAGACATAGAATAAAGTGGAAGTGACTGGTAATGGCATGTATGTTAACCTGACTGATTCATGGTGCTGAGTACTTTCCATTTTCTGTTCTGCCTCTTCTCCCATGTTTTCTAAGTTCAGTCTGTGGGTATGTTGTCACCTGGTCTCTGGTATTTCCTGAAGCAAACACTCTGAGAGAGTTGCAATTCACCACTGCAACTAAGGGGGTCCCCTCAAAAGTTTAAAAAGGTGAGAAACTTAAGCACCCGATACCACCATATATCTTGTACCTGTCACTTCCATTCTATAGACCATAGAATAGTAAAGTTGGAAGGGGCCATAAAGGCCATTGGGTACAACCCCCTGCTGTTTCAGGACAATTCACATCAACCCACTCAGTTTCTTTTCGAATGTCTCTAGTGTGGGAAAACTTACAACTTTCTAGGCAGCTGGTTCCACTGTCCTATTGCTCTGACAGCGAGGAAGCTTTTCCTGATGTCCAGCCTGAATCTGGGTTGTCGCAACTTGAGTTGATTCTTCTGTGTCCTGCACTCTGGTATCAGCGAAAAGAGATCTTGACCTTCCTCTCTGTGACAGCCTTTGAGGTACTTACACAGGGGTATCATGTCCCCCCCTCAGTCTTCTCCTCTCAAGGCTGAACATGCCCAGTTCTCTCAGTCTCTCCGCACAGGGCAGTGTTTCCAAACCCTGGGTCATTTTTGTTGCCCTCTGCTGGACCCCTTCTAATTTTCCTGCATCTTCCTTAAATCCTGGTGCCCAGAACGGGACACAGCATTCCAGGTGGGCAACGACTACTTCTCCTGATTTGGAAGTAATGCTTCTATTAATGCATCCCAAAATAGCATTTGCCCTTTCTGCAGCTACATCACATTGTTGGCTCTTATTTAGACTGTTGTCCACAATAACTCCAAGGTCCTTTTCTTTTTCAGTTCTGTTGAGCCACATATTCTCCATCTTGTATCAATGCATTTGGTCTCTTTTTTCCTGCGTGGAGGACTTGGCACTTGTCCCTGTTGAATCTCACTCTGTTGCTTTCGGCCCAGCACTTAAGTTTATCAAGATCACTCTTGGCATCTTTAAGAGAGCGGGAAGAGATCCAAAAGATATTCCCACTAATGGAATTCCAGCCCCGCCTCTTACATTTCTGAAGTGAAAGGAAAAATTAAAATCCCCTTCTCTCCAAGTTCATGTATCCCTTCTGCATGTAAAATACACCTTTTTTTAAACTCCAAGGTCTTTTTCTTCTATAACTCCAAGGGTTTTTTCCCCAGCTCTGCTGAGCCATACACTCCCCATCTTGTATCAATAAATTTGATATTGGTTTGTGTTTGGTTTCTTTTTCCTAGGTGGAGGACTTGGCATTTGTCCCTGTTGAATCTCATTCGGTTGCTTTCAGCCCAGCATTTAAGTTCATCAGGATCGCCCTGGATCTTCATTCTGTTTTATAGGGTGTTCTCTATTCTACCCTGTTTTGTACTGTCTGCAAATATGATTATCTTTCCTCATCCTTCCTCCTCTATATCATTAACAAAGATGCTGAAGAGCACTGGGCCCAGGACTGAACACTGAGGCACCCCCCCCCCCTTTCTCCACTTTGAGAAAGTGCCCTGGGTGAGCACTCTTTGCGTCCCATTTAGCAGCCAGCAATACCCAACAGCATGCTAGGTACTCTGCTGTGTGGTAGACGTAAGGAATGGTCAGCACATAGACACAGTGTGCAAAGAACCTTTGCTTCATCTTCTTACTGTTAGTACGATTTGATTTTTAAGAGCTGACAGTCCCTTTTTAGCTGCTGGAACTGGGCAGCACACATGGCTCCCATGGACCGGCTTGGGCCTGAGCCAGCGGCGGTCTGTGTGCGCTTGCCCCACCAGTGTTCTCACCCCTAGTTTTTTCTGCCCTTCTTTTTTAAACGAATTATTTAAAACAGCTTATGATTGTTGCCTTTAAAAGTCCTGCAAAACAGATAAACTCCCCCCCCCCCCGATTTTTTTAGGCTGACCACAGCCCTGGGGCTGATCGAAGTTTTATTTGACCAGGCCAGGAAAAAAGAGGCCGCGTTTCCCCGCAGGAAAACTTCGGCGCTTTTGGCGCGCAGGTGAGTCCAGGTGGGCGGCGCCCGCGTGCAGCGCAGCCACCGCCGGCGCGGGGCGGGTTAACGCGCAGTTGTGGGGAAAGGGGCGTGGCTTGGGCTCAGCTGGGCGGAAAGGGGCGTGGCGGAGAGGCAGGTGAGCGGAGCCAGCAGGTGTGTGTGGCCGTGCCCAAGGCAGGGCTGGCGGCGGCGGCGGCGATGGTGATGTCAAAGCGGGCGGGGGAGCGCAACTGCCAAGCAACAGGTTCCAGATCCGAATCTCGCTTTTCGGACGCTTCTGTTTCGCCGCCTTCCGCCCTGGAATCAGGTGGCGCCTGAGCTGAGCGATCGCAGCCCTTCTTCCCGCTTCCCCTTCGCCCTCCTTACTATGGGGGGCAAAAAGAAAAAGGAGGACACCCCTCCCGAAGCTTCCTCCTCTTCTTCCCATGGCCCCTACGGTGAGTCCTTGCAATGCTCTTTGCTTGCTGAGTTCCGCAGGTGCTTGGGAAAAGGGAGGGGACTTGAGGAAGAAAGGCTCGGGGGCTCGGGAAGGTCCAGAACTCGGGGATGCACGGAGGTGACTCACAAGCGTCCCCCTTGTCGCCCTTTCTTCTTTCTTCTTTGGAGCAGTCGGTTCCTGGGGGCGAGATTCTCTGATGTTTACGCGCATAATAGGCAAATCCAGCGTGCGGGGACTTGGGGGGGGGGGTTGAAAGATCGGGAGGCGGAACTTTAGTCCGGCGTGTTTAGCGAGGGGCCTTGCAGGTCCAACTCTGAGCCCGGCATGTTTCCCTCAGCAAATTCCAGGTTTTATGGTTGTGTTGGATAGCTCAGTGAGAGAGTCGCAGAGGACTGCCAGCGCGGATGCCTCTTGCAACCTTCTCCAGCCTGGTGCCCTTCAGATGTGCGGGACTGCAAGTACCATCACCCCCAGCCTGAACGTGCTGGCTGAGGACAACAGGGCATGAGTGTTCTGAAGCAGCACGTCTGGAGGGCATGAGCTTGGAATGCCAGAAGGAAAATTCCAGGGACTTGGGAGATTCCGCTGGAACTATCCAACTACTGGAAGGACAGGCATTGGAAAGCAGTCTGGGTTCAAAATTTGAAAACACAAAAGATGATATTCTGGGTTGGGGTGGTTTTTGTTGTTGTTTCTGGTAGTGTGGTGGGGGGAGACTTAATGCAGGAAAGGGACTTGTAAGTAAAGACAGTTTAAAAAATATTTGATCAGGAAAACAAATAAACTTTAAAACGTTACAGTATAAGAATCATTAAGATGCGGTCAGTATCACTCATGTAATTCCAGGAAATGAGATGTATGTGTGTATTTTTGGCAGGGTGGCAAGCAGGGAGTATCCCCGCCACCCGCGTTTAAGGGCACAGTCCAGTGCATAAGCAAGCAGCAGTCTTGCAGCTTCTGACTGGCTTGCGAATGATAGGATGTGTCCTGTCTGAAGATGCACCAGATCGTGCCCTTAACTTTTTCATTTATACAGCCTCATCCGTAGCATTTTACTGGGTAGCTTGAAGACAGGCTCCCTGCCCTGAGGAGCTTGCATCCACAATTAGACACACGGTCATGGCAAACATGTACTGAATGATGGGTTGGGTTCACGTGCTGATTTCCAGTGGGGCAGGACTGGGGGACTTGTGGTCTACCAACATCTAGAGGACCAGAGCTCCTGTCATGCTGCCCACTGGCGATGCTGGCTGGGAAGGCCTCGGACCTGCCAACTCCCACCGACCCCAGCTGGCATGGCCAGGCGTCAGGGACAAATACAAGCTGCTGTTCAGCGGCACTGGAAGGGCCACAGGCTGCCCGCTTTTACGGCAGAGGGTGCAGACCAAGGGATCGTGTGACCGGGGCACTGGGCTCGGTTTAATTTCTCAGAAGTGACGGGTGGCTGGCGAAAGAAGACCCCACCTGGCAACTCCAGGACGATTTGCTGTGGAGACTGTCTCCAGTGAAGACTTCAGCACTGGTACCTGGGAGGTCGACAGCTCCAGCAGTTTCCTTCATTTGTCTGATAGAGCAGGCTACCTGGCACCCTCCAGGTGTTCTCGCTGGCAACTTCCATCACCTGTGGCCAACCTGTTGAGGCTGATGGATGTTTTAGTCCAAAGCGCCTGAAGGGCACCAGGTTATGTGTCCATTCTCTCGGGGCTCAGCTGTTAGATTCTTCAGCTAAGTAATCAAGTGGAAGGTGATGGAAAAGGCCACAGAGGGACCTCAGTACCAGACCAACCCAAAGGTCTGACTCCTGAAAATCAGACCATTTCGCAGGTGCAATGCTCACGTGATAACAATAAGCATTTATATGGCGCTTTGGACAAGAATGTTCTAAGTATTCTCCTGCATCAACCCTGTAAGGGAGGAGAGCTAATATCCCAGGCAGGGAGGCGAGGCTCAGAGGTGATAGCTTGCCACTTTGGTGAACTGATTGCAAGAGGTGAGGGCATCCCAAGATCTCGAGCTCAGCCTTGAGCTGCTACGCAAACTCCTAGGATCAAGGACTACCATTCAGTCGAAACTTGAGGAAATAAACTTTCCCTGTTTTGCTTCCGAGGGCAAAGTCTGAGATAGCACTGCTACACGATTTTCTGCTACCCACAAGGAGACCAGGAAGCAACGCTTGCTTTTTGTACTTGGAGATCTGCAAAGAGAGTGGCAGGCAAGTGGGGGAAGCAACTACAACCGCAGCTTTCTCTTTCCCTCTTTCACGTGTAGCCTGAGGAATTAAAGAGTGGCTAGTCCTGGAGCTTGTTGCTGCTCGTGTAAACGGGGCCAGTACAGGAAAGCCTTTTCTAAGCTCCTGCTGGCAAGGCGCACACCCCGAGCGCACTAATGCCTTCTTACCTTTTGGCAGCATGGAAGCACTTATGTCGTCTTATACGGAGTCAGAACCCTTGATGCATCCAAGTCAGTGCTCTCTACTGTGGGGGTGCAAAGGAAGCAGATGGGGAATCTTCCCGGAGATCATTGGGTAATTTACAGTAGATCAACAATGACTCCTGGCTTGTTTTAACAGCAGCAACAAGAAAGCTGCATCCATTCTTCTTTAAATTAGATGCCTGAATCTCTGATCTGTGATAACCCCTGTCTGTCCATGCAGTTCAGCTCATGAAATAGCTAGTTTCATGAGTTACTAGTTACTTTTTGACCCTGGACTGAATGGTCTCCTGGAAGTTCCTCTTTACAGAGCCAGTGTGCTGTGGTGGTTAGAGTGTCAGACTAGGAGGACTCAAGAGAACTGAGGTCTTGCCGCTGCTCAGTCGTGAAGCTCACTGGGTGACTTTGGTCAGGCCCCGACTCTCAGCCTACCTACCCCATAAGCTCTTGTGAGGATAAAATAGAGGAGGAAGACAATGTAAGCCACCTTGAGTTCCTTGCAAGAGGGGGGAAAAGACACGAAATAAATGTAATAAACAATAAAATAGAAATAATTACTGCAGTATGAAGAACACTGCTAATATTTCTCATAAAGCTTTATTCTTGCTTCTTTATTCAACAAATCTTAGGCCAGCAACAAAGCTATTTTTCGGCACTGATTTGTTTTAAAAAAGCCAACTCTGCCCATGTGCAGTTTTACAGTTTCAACTCAACTCATAGCACCATCATTGGTTAGGTGACATCAGGTTGGCTTTGGCTTTCTTGAGGGAAGGAGTGTGGCGGGAGGGTGACTGGGAACCCTAATCTTTGATCTCAAGGTCCAATATTAAATGTTCCACAAGGGGCAAAATATCATTGGCTTCCATAACTGCACTGAGCTGCCATTTTGCCTCTGGCTCCATTTGGTGGAGTTTAAAATCTGCCTGCATAGCTTTTTATCAAGCTACGTAGCATGTCAAGTCACCTTTGTTTAGCTGGAAAGGTGATGGTCGGCAACTGGACGGGTAACCACAGGAGCAGGAGGAGCAGGGGGTTGGTCTCAATGGCCTTATAGGCCTCTTCTCTTCTCTTCTCTTCTCTTCTCTTCTCTTCTCTTCTCTTCTCTTCTCTGTTCTACTAATACCAACAAAGTAAGTACTTGATGTCCACCCATACTACTATCTCTTCAGACTTCCTGTGCTTGACCCTAAATAAGGAAGGTGCTGAATCCTGTTGAGTCACACCTTCTTGGAATAAGACGGTATGGGACCTTTCACATTATGCAAATGTCCTTGCCTGGCTCAATGTCAAGTTAATAATCGGCTACCTGAAAAGCAAGAGTCCTTTTAGTTCCGCAACTGCACGATAAGCTGGGAACTAGAAGGGATATGTTTTAGCACATTAAACCAGTGACACAGTTGGGCAGTCTTAGATTCTAGACATAATGGTCCTACTGGGGTGGGGACCACTTAGAAGATTAATTGGATCTGGTATCCTACAGGTGTTTCAGAGTACAAGTACTAGCATTTCTGTCCGTTGGCTATGCTGGGTGGATGGCAGTTGAAAATCCAGAAATTCTGGAGGGCACCAAGTTGGAGAAGGCTGGTATATTGCTTCCAAATGTGCTACATCAGTCCTGCTGCATTTGAAGCCCTCCTAATTTTCCAGGGCAAAACCCTGGATTTCTGCCCCAAAGTCTTACCCTGTTGGCATCACTTCTTCAAACACCAGTTGTGTGGTTGCTGGCTATAACAATTACATAAGATACCATCCCTGCTTGACATGGCCAATTTCTGCTAACACCTTGCTAATCCTGGATGCCGAAAAATTCTCCATCATAGCATCCCTTTAGGGCTTTCTATTTTTAAAAAAATATTAGTATTACTGGCACGTATTGGTCAACAGCCCAACTAGTTCAATATTTTAGTAGCTTAATCATGCTAGGAAAATGTAGATATCTCTTGGAAGGTCTTTTGCACTTGTTCATACTTTGGAAGGATAAACCTGAAGGGGTGGCACTGAGACCAGGAGAGGGGAGGTGCCCAAAAGTCAGGCAGGCTGAGAAACAAGGGTTGGAAAAGTAGTTGTGAGGATAAAATGGAGTGCAGGAGAACTATGGAAGCCACCTTTGGTTCTGTACAAGGAAAAAAGGCAGTACAGAAATGCATTTTTAAAAAGGCTTTCACTGACAAAAGGTGCTGTTGCAATACATATATTAGCCTTTAAGGTAGACTTACTTCCCCAAGCTAGTCTCTTCCAGATGTGTTGGAATTTAAGTCCCATCATTCCCAGCTAGTTGGTCAATGCAGGCTGGGAATTAATGAGCCCTGCAGTCCAAAGACATGTGGAGGTTGCCAGGTGTCCATTTTAAAGAGCTTTTCTAGCTTCCTAAATGTCCACCTGACCTAAGCCTGACACAACCTTGCCATTTCTCTTAATGTCAAGGCAGGTGTAGCTGCCTTAATCTGGAAAGCTTTGGAAACAGGTGCCCCTCTTGATAATTCTCTTCAGTGGCCTTGGCACTCTCTCTGTCTGGACAAAATGGCCCCGTATCCTTTTCTCGCACCGATGAAGGAAGTGGGGAGAGGA